GTTCAAAGGCGCTCAAATCACCTTTCTCCCCCATACTGATGCTCAGTTTGAACTGCAGGAGATTGTCCTGAGCACTGAGTTGCCGCCATGTGATTGGCTGATTAGAAATTAAGTGTTAACGAGCAGTTGGACAGGTGTACCTAATAAAGTGGCCGGTGAGTGTATGTCTTCATTTCATATGTATACAATATTTGCAATTTCTACACTATTATCAATACAGTGCTTTTTTTCACAGGATGGTCATGGGATTTCAGAATATTGAAATGGTAACATTTTACACTCAAAATATTTTTGTTGACCTAAAGTGTAGGTAAAGTTTAAAAAAATCAATGGAATCAATGGTGTGTCTATGTTGTGCTTCCTGACTTCAGGTTGGGGCTGAAGGCAGGTGGGGGACCAGGTCCATTTTGCCTAGGGCCCCCAAAGTGCCTTGAAACGACCCTGCCTCCAAAGAAAACTTTCTAAGAGTTTGATCAAATCTGTCATTGAAAATTTTGTTAACAGACATCAGTGTTGACTCTAACAATTAATGCTAACATTTTAACAGTGGGTGATAAAAATGTGAAGAGTGGACGAACCTGAGTGAAGCTCTTTCACCAGTGATGACATCGTGTTTGTGATTGAGTCAGCAGCAACTAGAAGATCATTTCGCAGATTTCTGGGTACACCTGAGGAACAGAGTCATGCTCAGGTCAAAACAAGTACTTCTTAGTTCTGGAAAGTTAGTGCAGAAGGTTCATTATTACAAACATGTTTCTAATGCCTGATTTTTGTTAGGTTAGGTTCAGTCTCACCTTGAGCAAAAGCCTCCAGCACGTCCCCTCCCACCCCTGCCAGGCAGTCCTGTGGTGTGTGAGTCGGGGTGGAGCCAGCTGAGGTGGAACGTATGGGCATGGGCATGGAGCAGCCTGCACCGTGACTAGGAGAAGAATGTGGGGAGCCTCCAGACTGGGACTGCAAAACATAAAATCATCCAAAATACAGTATTTGTTGGTTTCAAATACTTAAAAAATTAAACCTATTTACCTAATTTCTATAAAAAAATCATATTGTTTTGTTCTATATGTTGTTCTAATGAAACTATAAAGGAAATAAAAYGAGGTATGTAATTTGTACAACATTTAAATCTTTCTAAATTAAAGCATTAGCCTTCCTTGATGGAATGGACATCATTCACTGACTTGAGATCATGATGCAAAGGTACAGAGTTACAGCCATTTTTGGTCAAACCTTGAAAACAGTGTTGGGCACTGACCGCTAATCCACTAATAGCGGATCTAGCTTCTCWTTCAGTGAGATTAGCRTTTTTGTTAACTTTGGAAACCAAGTGGACTGATGAGCTTCCACTAAATTAGGTTCTGCTAATTTTAAGTCCTTCTCTGATGCTATGTGTCTCTTTCCTGTTCCCACAAATCCAGCCGGTCAAGGCAGATGGCTGATTAGTGGTTTTGTATTAGCAGAGCTAGRTTTCTTGTTTAGCGTATTAGTGGTTTGTAAAGCTAATGTTTTGGTTAGCTGTGTCCATCACAGGTTAAAAATAATATGACTGAGTTATAGCTATGTTTGTGTTGACTATGATTGATGAATTGTGGTGGCCATCTTGAACTAGACTAACTTGGAAAGGTAATCAGTTGTAAAGATAGATTCAATGATTCATCCAATGATTTATAAGATATTTTACCAACAGGCAAACAAGGTTGATACCAATGTCACTCTGTCCAGCTGTCAGTCTGTGGTTCTACCTCCCTCTCCTCTACATTTTATATTTCACAGGTACTGCCAGGCATTTCTGCTACAGGTGACTCTGATCACCTCAACAGCTCTGCTCATCTTGAGGGCCTGACTCACTACAGTTCACTGTTGGAGCTTTAGGTTGCAATGGTGACTGGTCTCACAACCCCTGAATGATTCTGGTTATTTGGTTGTCCCTGTCCTCATGTTTTTGCAGCCTTACCCTGTTACCTCATGCCTGATCTGTTCCCAGTCCCTTTKACCTCACTTCTGGACCCTCCTGGCAACTCTGAGTGACATTCAGCTTATTCAGCTTCTGCACTTGCCTGTCTGCCCCTGACAAGAGAACCCTCTCCACTACCTTTCGGATCCCAATTTCATAATAACTTAATCAGTCGTAGATACAGTGGGTAAAATAAGTATTGAACAAGTCAACATTTTCTCAGTAAATAAATTACTAGAGGTGCTAATGACAAGAAATTTTCACCAGATGTCGGTAACAACCCAAGTGATCCATACATACAAAGAAATCAAACCATAAATGTCCAGAAATAAGTTATTTGTAATAATGTGGAATGGCACAGGGAAAAAGTATTGAACACATGAAGAAAGGGAGGTGTAAAAAGGATGGAAAGCCAAGACACCAGCTGAACTCTCTCAGTAATTAGAAAGCAAGCCTGCCCCTTGTCAGTGCAAATTAATATCAGCTGGTTCAGTCCCAAATGATGGCCAGGTATCACACAAGAACCATCTGATGATGGGTAAAAGTAAAGAGCTCTCTCAAGACCTTCACAACCTTATTGTTGCAAAGCATAATGATGGCATCGGTTACAGAAGAATGTCTAAACTTCTGAAGGTTCCAGTGAGCACTGTTGGGGCCATAATTCAGAAGTGGAAAGAACATCATTTCACCATAAACCGACCACGACCAGGTGCTCCTCACAAGATTTCTGACAGAGGAGTGAAAAGAATTATCAGAAGAGTTGTCCAAGAGCCAAGGACCACTTGTGGAGAGCTTCAGAAAGACCTGGAATTAGCAGGTACGATTGTTTCAAAGAAAACAATAAGTAATGCACTGAACCACCATGTATGCACGCTCACCATGCAAGACTCCACTGCTGAAGAAACAGCATGTTGAAGCTCCTTTAAAGTTTGCTGCACAACATTTAAACAAGCCTGTGTAATACTGGGAGAATATAGTCTGGTCAGATGAGACCAACATTGAACTGTTTGGATGCCAGAATAAACATCATGTTTGGAGGTCAAATGGCRCTGCACATCAGCCCAAAAACACCATACCAACAGTGAAGTTTGGAGGTGGGAACATCATGGTGTGGGGCTGTTTTTCAGCATATGGTACTGGCAAACTTCAAATAATTGAAGGAAGGATGAGTGGAAAAATGTACAGAGACATTCTTGATAAAAATCTGCTTCCATCTACCAGGATGATGAAGATGAAACGTGGCTGGACATTTCAGCAAGACAATGAGCCCAAACACAAAGCCAAGGAAACTCTCAGTTGGTTTCAGAGAAAGAAACTAAAGCTGCTGGAATGGCCCAGCCAATCACCTGACCTGAATCCAACAGAAAATCTATGGAAAGAACTAAAGATCAGAGTTCATAGAAGAGGTCCAGGAAACCTTCAAGATTTGAAGACTGTTTGTGTGGAAGAATGGGCCAAAATCACACCTGAGCAATGCATGCCACTAGTTTCTCCATACAGGAGGCGTCTTGAAGCTGTCATTGACAACAAAGGCTTTTGTACAAAGTATTAGATAAATTTCAGTAAGTGTGTTCAATACTTTTCCCCTGTGCCATTCCACATTATTACAAATAACTTCATTTCTGGACATTTATGGTTTGATTTCTTTGTATGTATGGATCACTTGGTTTTTACCGACATCTGGTGAAAATTTCATGTCATTAGCACCTTTAGTAATATATTTACTGAGAAAAATGGTGACGTGTTCAATACTTATTTTACCCGCTGTATACTTCCAATAATTATGTATTTTGTGTAAGTTTCATTAAAACCCCTCCAGTAGTTTGTATTTTGGTAAAAGACAAACAATACTGATTGATTCTAAAGTTTAATGCCAAAGTTTTAGATGATTCTGCAAAATGAGTAGAAGTAAGTGTTATCAATGATTGTCAGCTACAGCCATATAAAAAATAGGAACAATACTGATTGAGTGCTAGCCATTTTTGCGTTACCTCTAAATATATATTTTAAAAAAATACCACTTCTAGCATTTTTGGGTGGTTTTAGAATGTCGGGGTTTGACTACAAATAAATAACAGAAAAAAATTCAAATCTTTATTTTTCTTTCTGTTAGAAATCCAAGTACATGTTGGAGATGAATCTGAGCTTAGCCAATCTTAGGTCAGTATGTTTAAAATTACTAAATTATAATTACTGAATCACATCAACTCCAAAGGTTAATTAGTTCTGCATGTGATTCCAATGATTACATTTGCAAGTTTCATCAATAAATGTTGTGGTCAGAGGGGTGTAGGGTACTCAAAATTTGACCTCAAGCAGGAGTAAGACTACTTCAACATATTTTTATTCCTGTCCAAGAAATTACTTCATTAAAAGTAGAAAAGTATTTTGTAAAGAGGCTACTTGAGTACTGAGTAACTGATCATGACATTTGATTTAATATAAAAAAAAGTCATCAAACTGACAAAAAATATTGAGTTATGTGCAAACTCTTGTGTTTTTCAGGACTGAATTCCAACAGAAGAAACACTTTTCCAAGTCAAATTTTCCTCATTATGACACTTACTGTATGGAACTTCCACTGACTATACTGTTTACCATATATTCACTTGACATCCAAATTTCTCCGCAGGCTCAGCAGATTAAAAAAAATAGCATCAAAACAACACAGCTTGAGAACAAACAAGGTTTCACTTAAATATAAACTGCATGTGTGTCTCTGTGGTGCATTTCTGGTTGAAACATGTTTGTTCTTTATTTAGTGAAGTTACTTACAGTGGGTTTGGTATCCTGAAATTTTACTWAATCAAGAGTAATGATACTTTATAATATTATTACTCAAGTAAAGTAAAAAGTACTGTGTAGTAAAACTACTAAATGTACTGTATTTCAAAAATGTACCCAAGTAAATATAACTGAGTAAATGTACTATTTACTACCCACYTCGACTTGTGGTTCATGAGATATTCTGGTAGTCGACTTGTACACACACAGATGCAAATAAGATTGTATTTCCATCCTTATTAGGGTTGTGTATTAATTTTCAGTCATTTCAGAGAGAGCAAAACTCTGATCACCGAGAATGAAACAGAGCAAACTGATAAGAAAACTATATTCTGTCTAACAAAGACAAGACGAAGACTTTACAGTATTGCTTTAAGATTTTGATCACAGATTGCAAGTTTTGCTTATGAAATGATTTTTTAATGTTATTTTTTTCTCATATTTTTAATTTTTTTGTCCGATCATTCAAGAGTTTTTTAGGCACAAACCTAATTCCAAATAAGGTCCAGTGGAATAAAATACAAAAATAAATAAATAAAATAAGTAGTTGTCCATGGCTGCTCTGGGCTTTTAATAGAGGGAAAACTTTCGTAACTTGTTAAGCTTTTTATGACTCCACATAAAAACAAACACATCTTGGATCAACTGACTTTCTGTGCTGCTTTACAGACTGATCCAACCTTTAAAACATGACATTTATCAAAGCAAACATGGACACAAATGTGACTAAAAAGAAGCTAATCCTTTCAGGGAGAACAAAAATACTTTCTGGTAATGAACTACTGGGCTTCACTCTCTATATTGCATCTCCTTCATGCATGATTAGATGGATGTAACTGATGTGTGGGTGCTGTAGTGTTCAGTCTGAAGCTGTATTTCATAGAAAGAGGATTTCTGTGGCGTCTCTGGGACCGTGGCAAACTGGGTCGATGGCTCTGAGCCAGGCAGCAGATGGCGAGTCAGACAGTCCCATCCAAGGGAGGTTGTTAAAACTGATAAAAGGAGAAGGTCCTTGACTTTTGGACTAATAAAAACACAGTTTTCACCACTTTAGTTTGAAAACTAGCTTTAAAGTTGACGTCTCCATGGCTAACTTATGAGCCAACAAGAAAGCAGTGCAGTGGTAGGTGTTTGCTCTATATTTACACAATAACCTGCACGCATCTGAGTAAGAAGCAGAGACATATTAAACCAAGTAATGTGACTAGAGCTTGGCACTGAGCATTGTCTACTGAATTAAGGAAAACTTACAGCCTGTTTCTGCTCCTCATCCTATCAGCCGGCAAATGGAAGCAGAGAAAGAGCAAGAGTGAAAGCAAGAAAATTAAAGTCATGAAAAGAAGACCAAAGTGACACTTGCATGCATCATATGGTGTGTTTTTCATAGTAAAAGATTAAAATAAATGTTTTGGTTTTAGAGAATTATATGTATTGCCTTTAATCAAATGGTACACCGAGCTTAAAACCCATTTATTTAAAGCAGATTCTCACTAACAAGTCTGCCTAATGTCAAACAACTGCAGATTTAAGTAATTTGATTATGATCCTCAGCACTGAGGTTTTAACATCCTATTTCCAGAAAACCCTATCTGAAGCAGGAGACAGTTTTACCTTCAGCAGCCTCATGAGTCCTTCCAGCTGCACCATCAGCTCTCGCCTGCTCTCCTGCAGAGCTGACATGCGCCTCTCCAGCTCATCTTTCCTGTGTCTGTGGACAAAGACGTGACACACGGACAGGACATGAGTTAAGGTGGCCAGGTCATATGTCTAACATACCACTGAATAATAATATTAATACTAATAAATTAACCAGAAAAAATATTTTCACAAAAAATGTAATATGAATGCAAAATACTAAATGACTACTGAAATTTGCCAAAGAAGCTAAAACTAAGGTTTTAAAGATAAAACAAGTAGACCAGATGCTACAATTAAATAACATTAGCTAAAAATCAAAGCAGCAGCTTAAAGGAGAAAAACAGATCCTGAAAGCTTACAGGACACGAATGCTAAAAATTAGCAAAACTGCAAGCAGATGGTAAATCTAAAATTATTAGAACAGGTGCGAAACAGTAGCGACACTTAGTGGAGGGGAGCAGACGGCTGCATCTGAAGCAGAGCAGGTACAAGTTTGCACCTGTCTTTCAATTGTGCTTAACATAAGATGCAGAAACAGCAACCACAGTCAGTGTCAGGTTTGATCAATCACATTGTGGAGCTAAATATTATTTATAATATATTTGAATATCCTCCTCCCAGTATTTTGCAAGCTCTGATAATCATCATATTCATCATATAAGTTTGCATGTCGTTTTACACATGCAAACCTTTGATAAATCAGTCCCTTTGTCTTCAGTTCTAATGCCAAACAAACCAAAGAGTCAAAAGGAGCAAAGTGACAATGATGGATGATGCTGATTCTAATATAAATTCATTTTTTAGTAATAATACCTAAAAAGTACCATGTTATTTTTAAAATACTAACAGTAAGGAAACAGAATACACAAACACGGCACAAACAGAGCAATGTTGTATATGCTGTTAAGTGCCAGGAGGACTGCGACCAGTTATACATCGGGGAAACAAAGCAACCACTGTTCAAAAGAATGTCCCAACACAGACGAGCTACATCTAATGGCCAGAACTCTGCAGTTTTCACTCATTTACAGGCCAGCGGTCACTCTTTCAGAGATGAGGATGTTCTCATTCTTGATAGAGAGGAACGTTGGTTTGAGAGAGGAGTAAAAGAAGCCATTTTTGTGAAGAAAGACCGTCCATCATTAAACAGAGGTGGAGGCCTCCGTTTTCAGTTGTCCCCCTCCTACAGTGTGGCTATTGCCAGTATCACTCCACCCCCTGTTAACAATAGGTGTTAATTAGGTGTCAACGATAGCCATGTGATGTGAGTATCAGTCACATGGAGGCAGGGCTTAAAAGCCTGAATTTTGCCTGAAACTCTCAGACTGAAGAAGTCTCTTGGAGGAGAGACGAAACGTTTCATTAAAGAAGAACCCGTCCAGAAGACCTATACTATTTTTTTCTTTCTAACAGTAAGGAGTTACAATGGGAGTAAATCAAAAGTCAGAACTGGAAAAAATGCAATTTCTGTCAAGGTAACATAAGCAGGTTATTATAAAGACTGTAAAAAYGGTAATAAGAAATTTTATTTAAAAATTGTTTACTTTCTGAACTCTATCTGATTTATTGTTTAGGACATGAAACAAACGCAAGACGATGTTCAGGACAACTCGTCCACTCAGGCTAGTCTTTTCCAAGAACTGAACCTGAGGGTGACAGAATCCTGCAGGAAGTCTTGTGCTGCTGTCCAACCCATTTAAAAAACTTCCTCCTAACTTAAGAGGACATTATTTTTGCTTGAAGCTTGGCTTCAGCAAACAGAAACCGAAGTGGCTTTGTTTGTGTATTTTTCTTCCTTTCACTGGGTCTGGTTCATACCTGAGGAGCCGCAGTTCAGTCAGGAGCGTGGGGTTCTGTTGGGCTTTTTCTGGTGTTGGCTGAGAGGCCTGTTCATGCTCCAAACGCAGCCTCTGAATCTCCTGCAGGATCTCCCTGAAACATGGCAGAAAGTTGTGGTAAAATACATGTGATTTATTATTACAGGTAGAATGTGAAACTACTGAGTCAAATCAACGTTTGAGAATTTGAATGCACAGTGTTGCTAAAACAATTAAGCATGAATTTAAAACTCTACTGTATGAGCACTGTTTAATAAAACCCAATAAGAACTGCAGAGGTTATTTTATTTATTTATTGTAGCCACTTCAGTAGAAAACAGAACTGAATATAGTTACTTTATCATCAGTGAGAGGTCATTTTAAAATTGAATTTAAAAAATCGTTTTCTATAAATTCAACAGTTTGAAAAAGGTATATTATCAACTCTCTAAATGATTTGTAAATTTAGAGTGTTTTCCTGAAACATTTTGTAAGGTGATTTTATAGAATGGTGATGTATCCCATTTTTTACATCTGAAATGTTTTTGGACTCCTCTAAAGGCCTGGCAGCCTGGTAAGAACTGCATGTTGCCTGCCACCTTTCTGGGCAGACTTTTAAACATAAATCGTCTCATGATGAGAAAAGACAAAGTCGTGAAACAACAAACACCTYATGAGAGCGCTCATAGTATGTGTTGGGGACAGTAATGGAGTATATCTACTTGAATACTCTACCTACAGTAAGTACATTTTTTGAGTATCTTTACTTTACTTGAGTAATTATTTTTTGGGGTACTTATGACTTTCACTCCACTACATTTCAAAGACAAATATTGTACTTTTGACTCCACTACATTTCTAGGAAGCTTAGTTACTCTTTACTTTTGGCTCAGCAGAGTTTTGTATTCTGCTGTTGCTGTTTATCTTTCTTGAAATGTAATTGGCCACACGCTGTGTTCCTCACAAAGGGAACCAATCACAGTTGTAGGTCACACCTGGGATAGATTTGGAATTATATCATCTTCTTTAATGGTCATGAGCTGAGCCCTCACCTTCATTTCAAACAAAACCCAGCAATGGAGACGACTGAAAAAAGCCAAAAAACCAGCTCAGCCATGGCCATATCTCAGCTCGATGTTTGAGATATCAGGACTGAAAACAGTTTGCATCAGTTTAAATGTCTTCTGTGTTCACCGCAGATAAACTAAATTTTCACATTTAATAACTCACCTCTCACTTTATTGTATATTTCTGCTGAAGTCTTTACAGGTGCACAGAAGAGTGCACCTGTAAAGTGCACAGTGGTTCTACGTGTCAATACATCAGGTGGTTTCTGAGAGTTACAAGGTTCTCTAAAATCACTCTGAAAACAATAAAGCAATGTACTGATATTAGAAAACTTAATTTGTACTTTTGAATACTTGAGTATTTTTAAATGCATGTAGTTTTGAATACTTTTGACCAAGTAAATTTTACTTGTAGTTTAGTAGAGTTGACCATGAGTATCAATACTTTTACTCAAGTACTAGAGTTGAATACTTTGTCCACCACTGGTTGGGGATGACTCTCAGCTACTACCACATACAGCAGATAAAATAAGTATTGAACACGTCACCATTTTTCTCAGTAAATATATTACTAGAGGTGCTAATGATATGAAATTTTCACCTGTCGGTAACAACCCAAT